AGAACCGAGAGACTCATGTAATGGTACAAGATCCCAATGATGAATGTAACTGTATTGTATACCTAAAATGTACCAATAAAGTTAATGGGGAAAAAATTTTTTTCATGAATATATACATGCGATCAAACCCAAAGGGATTTGTTTCCTTCTGTGATATAGATATAATTCCTGATGTTGAATAACAAATAGGAATTATGTGTACCAAGACCTATCATGATGTACAGTAAGCATGGAATCTCCACATATGGAGTTGTCAATGGTGGTTATTATTTTTTATTTCTGTATGGCTAGAACCTAGCCCAGAACTGACGTTCCTTTCTGCTTTCACCTTCTCCTGTGTGCCTTAACACCCACTACCATAAACACCCATTTTAAAAAATGAAATGCCTTTAGTGCATGCCTTTCTGTTAGATGATCAGCTTCTAAACTTCAGCATTCATTCATCCCTAGTCCCTGACAGAAGTATTTTTTTCCATGAACTTCAGCTTGAGCCCTATCATTCTTTTTTAAACTTCATTTCCACAGGAGGTTGTAGAGGGACTGGCAGGCAGGTGCCAGGCTGTCTGTCTTCTTTTGTTTTGTGTACATGCCTAGTAGCAGATCCTAGAAGACCAACTAGGAGGAGGTTAGTTATCTCTGGAGGGAATATAACTAATTTCTCCAGCATGTAGTCTAAGAGTTTTGAATAAGTTGGCTGCATGTTTGGACCAACTGTTATACTGAGACCTTTATATTCAGGTAATAAGAATCTGTGAAGATCACATGGAAATGCCTCTTTTGTGATATATGTCAGGGACTGGAAAACTAAAGTTCAGTCCAAATCTCAGGACTGACAGAAATGAAACCAGAATTGCTTACAAGAGTCAGAAAATGTACTAACATCAAGCTAGCTTCATGTCCACCACCCTCTAGCAATATACATCAGTCTGAATGTCATATCACAGACAGCTATAATAAGTGTAGGTAGGACAGAGTTTGCACATCACCTTTAAATGGCAATAATTTCATTTCAAAGGGCAAGTGAATGAAAAATGCACTTGAAAACTCACTAGATGCACTGAGAAAAGGTTATCTAAACTTCTTTGTAGACAAAAGACAAAAAACCATTTTAAATATTTGTTTCTTAAAATCTTGAAGCTAGAGTTTCTTAAAATCTTCTTTATCTACATTTTTCTCTATTTTATTGTCTTGACTTATACCAATAAACACGTGACTTTTACTATCTAGAGCAGGTGCACCATGGAAAATACAAAAGGTTAACCATATAACCCAGGTGCTCTGGCCAGTTCCACTGTATATATGGATTCAGAAGATTATTGGTAATTATAGGTAAATAGAGCTGGAATGAATATTGTGTTAATGTCCAGCGGGAGACAGAATGAGAGGGACTTCAGTCCTTGTTTGCAGTTATTTTATAGTCAGATGGGAACTGTATACAAGGGTGAAGCACTGCCTTTGCCCCTTCCATTTAACAACAGTGTTACTTTGGGCAAGTCATAGACTTTTTAAAGTATTCTTTTAGCTCAGAGTGGTATCTTGTGTTCAGTACACAGCTACCGTATTAAATAATTATAATGAAACTAAAAAGGAACAAATTGAGGAACAAAAATCTCTAAACTTTATCGGGAAAAGATGAGTTTAAGAAGCCATGGATGACTAGCTTCAGAAGATAAGAAGAACAAGTACAAATACGCTATTCAAATACAAGAAAGCCTTTTAAGGAGATGAGAGATTATAAATTTGTATAGCAAAAGAGGGCAGAAATAGGTTTCATTGGGAGGAATTAAAATAACGGGATTTAGGATCTCTGTAAGGAAACTTTTAAAATAATAATAATAATAATAATAATATCTGTCTAGCAGTAGAAGGGGCTAATCTAAAAAATAGTGCTAGTGGAAGTATGAAGCAGAGAACTTGAGAAAAATGTTTGTAAAATTCATGCAGGAGGAAGTAGATCAAGTTGGGAAGGGGAGTGAGGAAATCCCAGTGGAGGATGACACTCATCTTTAAACTCTGGTGCAGCTTCACATGTCACTTCCATGTCCTTCTGGCTCCTAAAATACTACAGGTGACAGAGAACTCTAGCTTCAAGAGCTTATGGTAGTATGCTCATTTCCTAAAAAAACACTCCAAGGACCTCCAAAAGAGCAAGAGAGATCATTCAGCTTCTTTTAGGCAAAGTTGCCTAATGGTAGACAAAAGGCATGTTGGGTCTGCCTTTCTTTCATCTAGGGGACATAATGGTTTGGACATTTTTTATTATAGTTTAAACAACAAACAACAATTATATTTGAAAAGTTAAAAGAAAATGATAAGTTCTATAGTCTTGAAATTCTCTCTGATCTCTCTTTAAGCTTGTTACACTCCTGAATCACAATATCTGGATTTTCTTTTTTAGGTCTCAGTATCCTTGGTGGTGACAGAACACCTGCGAGATAATCCAACCTTTAAAAAGTATACTTCCTGTTTGTACTCTGCTGGAGGCCATGGTACTATATTGTAGTTGACTGTTTATCTTGTTTAAGCCTAGTCAGAAGGGCTGTACATTCTGCTATAGTGTCTTCATCTGGTCATAAGAGCGCTGCAGCATAGCATCAAGCCTTATGACCAAACGGTATGCCTTTGTCACTGTTGCATCCCCATTGCCAGTGCAGCATCTGACAAAATAATGCTAGGGAGATCTTTTTCAAATGGGAAGGGGAACAAGAGATGGGGGAGGTGAGTAAGGAAAAGGGATGAAAAAAAAGAATTGAAGAAAAAAATAGAAAGAACTTTTGCAAATGGGAAGGGAAATATGAGCTGGAGGGAGCAGGGAGGGATGGGAAGGAAAGGGGACAAAAAAAGAATTAAGATGTGTTATGTACATGTGCAAACTCTCCCAAGATACATTTAATCATTATGTGCTACATACATGTATCAATTTAAAAATGCACAACAGAAGAAGAAAAAGAATATAGTGCCTGTGCAGCTAAGAAATGGAGAACCTACTGTTTTTCTAGATTCAACTTAAACAGCCTCCTCCATGCATGATTCTCCTTCACACCAAGCTCTGCTTTTACCAGGAGCTTAGCACCCACTTTTTATCCCTTCACCCTTTCTTCCTTCAGGATGAGCACCAGTTGTTTCTTATTTGCACACATTCCTTTTCAATTCCACAGCATTCCATATAGTTCCTCTTTCTCTGGCAGTCATTTAAAACTAGTTGATTAATCAAGCATTAAATCTGCTACTTATTGAGAGCTTGCTGTAGTCAAGCACACTACTGGACAGAGGAATATTCAGATATGCAGAAAATGATTTCTGCCCTTGAAGTTTGGTTAGAGTTGAAGGTACGTAAGCAAGATGAGAAAACACATAGTTCCTGCCAGGACTCGGTTAAGTGCTAAGTAGCAGTGTTGGCTTGATGGACTTTCAGAAGAGGTCCTTTCTACACTGAGAGAATGGGAATCTTCAGGAAGGATACAGACTTCAGTTAGCTTAGCAAGGATGACTCCAGATCATAAGAGAAGAAAGGGGCATGAGTATTTTAATGAAGGATGATGCACTCTGCAGCCTGACATTTACAAATTCAACAAATATTTATTGTGCATCTGCTGTGTGCCAAGCACTAACCTAAAAGTAGTAATCATACTGAGTTTTCTGAGGTCAAGTGTGGTTCAGTTTTCTCTCATTTAATCCTAAATTATTCATGACCTCATTCATTCCTGTAGCTTTAACTACTACCTCCAGCATGCAAAAGGCACCGAATCCACCTGTCCACCCCCAGATTCCTCTAGTGAGTCTAATTTTGGTTCTAATCCTAAAGCAAAGTGAGATGTAATGATTCTTCTCTACCCACTCTGTGCCAGTGTTTCCACACCCTGACCCTAGCCAAAGGGAGCAGACACCATGAAGACTACAAAAGTTATAATAACTTCTCTGGGCAGTACAATTATGAGTGTGGAAAACATGCTGTTATGTATTCCTCCACACCATGCTGCCTTACTGGGGACTGAGACAACTTTGTTGACAAATGTGTACCAGCCCATAGGATGACAGCCTAGGTATCAACAGACCTTTACTCAAACACCCTTAATGTTTTCATTCAGTGAATTTATCCCATGGGCCCAATGCTGTACTAGCTGCTTTCTGCCTACAATATCCTCTTACTAAGTTCTGTAAGAGAGATATCACTACCACCATCATACTAGTCCATTTATTTGTTATAATGAAATATCTGTGGTTACACAATTTTATAAAGAAAAGTTTATTATTTAGCTCACCATTCTAGAGATTCGGGGACATACAATGGGCAGCAGTTTGGCTGTAGTTAAGACCTCGTAGTAGATGGCATCACAGCAGGAACATGTCAGAGAGACAGGGACCACATCACAATACAGGAAGCCAGACAGAGAGACCAGGATCCCCAGGACAACTGCTTTATTCCTCTCCCAGGGCATGCCCCTGTAACCTAAGAACTTCCCACTCGGCCCTACCTCTTAAAGGTCCCACCACCTCTGAACATACCTTGCTAGGAGTAAACTTCCTACACATGAGCCTTTGAAGAACACACTTAAATTATATTCAAACCATGGCTGCCATTATACAAATGTGAAAACTGAGGTCACAGAAAAAATTGTCAATGATTTCAGTTCTAGTAAATGATGGGAGTCAGGTTGAGAACCAGATATTTTTGTTTCCAAATATGATGTTCTTCTACATTACAGTGGACACAGATTAATAGTTCTCAGTGCCTTAGTCTTACCATTTGAAAAGTACGCATTCTTGCCTCTCTCTACTTAGGAGTTGCAATGCCCTTGATAAGTGAGGTTTCTCAAGGGAAACTGAAATGGGTGAGACCTGAGTATTAAGGAAAATGGTATCACCAACCCACCAAGTATTTTAAAACCCAAGTGACCCCTATGTTAGAGGATAAAATCTACAGATGAATTTCTGGGCAAGCAAAAGCCATGAAATGTCATTCAATTATTCCTTCAATTTATACCTTGCAAGCTTCTACTATAGGCCACACACAATGTACTGTCAATGACACTGCAGATACAACGTGCGTCTTGCTAGATGTAATACATACTTAGTGCACTTCTTGTTTTAAAAATTAACATATGTTTTCAACTTATAGGAAAGTTTCCAGCTGCAATGGTTCACTGACAGAGAATCAGTCAGAGCAACAGCTCTTAACCTCTGAGAGGAGATTTTGGTAGCAACATGGTGTTGCATCCACTGAGGGCAGTGGCAGAGTGGAAAAAGCACACTGGCATCAGACAGTAGAGAAACCTAGTGTTGGGAGTAAGAACTTCTGCAAAGGCATTTGCAGAAGCATTGCTTGGTCTACACCACCTCCTTACAATGCCCTTCTCTGTGTATCTACTAAATTGTCACACGATCTTCAAGCTCGGCTTCAGAAATTATTCCCTAACTTCTCAATCTCACATTATCTCTACTCTCCCTGGGAGAATATATAAGTTGGTGTCTTGTCAACTGGAGTTTTTAGTGTGTACTATTGTGCTGAGGCAACAGGCAAGATGCTGGGATACAAGGATGAATGAAAAAAAGTTCCAGATTTCAATAAACTGTGAGATATTTTATAGGAATGAGGTGATTCTTATACTCTGGCCTATAAACATATATTTCCCATACAAGTTTTAGTCAAAAGCTGGAAAAGAGAGCTAGGAAAAGTCTGTTTACTACAGAAACATTAACAAATAATCTTGTTCTTCTAGTTTCCATTTAAAGATGGAAAATGAGACTCTAGGCACTTTTCTTTTTATAGCATCCTATGCTACTCAAAAGTCATGAGAAGACTAATACTGGACTAAATAATCTAATTATAATGAGTTTATATATCTTATGTCACATTTATATTGCTATTGAGGCAACTGACGTGAATAATATAAAAATGTATTATTCAATCATATTTTTAAATGATGTTCTTGACTGTGGAAGGCCCAACAGCACTTTTCATTCAGTTAGTAGGAAGGACTGTCAATGTTTCCTTGGCTTTGCTATTGGTCAATACTAGCAGAAAAATATATCTTCATAGTAACCATTCCAGCACCCAATATGATGTCTCGTATATACAAAAAATAGTGGAGAACATATGGGTCTTCCTGCCACATTGTGGCTGTGACCAACACTTATTTTCTCTTTTACTCTCATAGTGCTACTGTTAGAAGCAAATAGGAAGGGCTGGGGATTTAGCTCAGTTGCTCTGTGCCTGCCTCACAAGCGCAAGGTCCTGAGTTCAATCCCCGGTACAAAAAAAGCAAGTAAGATAACTTATGTAATGTGCTTTGCACACAGTGGCAGTAAACAAATGGAAGGTTTTATTATTTTTTGTTAAATGAATGAAAAAGTACATTTAACTATTCTTCTTTACTCTTCCCCCATCCAAATCCCTGGCTAACCTTTCCAGACAATCTTAAATATTTCCTCTATCATTCTTGGTTTTCTTGGTTATCTTTTTAAAATTTTCTTATCTATTTTATTAGTACATATTTATAGTACATGATGTTTACATTCTTTGTGTGGAGTTGGTACACGTACATAATACATCTTTTTTTATATTTAATTTTGCATTTTATTTTTTCTTCCCTGCCCTCCCTTCCACCCCTCCATCCCTTATTTACAAAGACTTTGTTTCCATTTTCTCATATTAATTCCATTCCCTTCTTTCCTTTCACCTACCCCTCCCACTTCCCCTTTGCCCCTTTTCTTCCTATTTCTCATTATCTATTATACCTTTTAGTCCTTATTTACACTTTCAGTTTCTCACACTAGAGAAACTATTTGGTATTTACACATGTGTGTCCTATCTATTTCACTTAAGAGTATCGCCTCAATGTGCATCCGTTTGGCTATAAATGTCTCTAATTTCTCATTTTTTATGGCTGAGTAGTACTCCATTTTATAAAGAAATCACATTTTCTTTATCCAGTCTCCAGTTGATGGGCAATTGGGCTGCTTCCAAGTTTTAGCTATGAACATGGGTGCACATATATCACTGTGGTATGATTCTTTTAATACTTTGGGAAGATCCCCAGCAGGGGAATAGTGGGGTCAAATGGGACTTCCAGTCCTAGTTCTTGGAGGTGTCTCCATACTGATTTCCACAGTGGTTGCACCAGTCTACACTCCCACCAGCAGTGGAGCAGTGTTCCTCTTTCCCCACAGCCCCCCCAGCATTTGTTATTGGTTGATTTCATGACAGCAGCCATTCTTTCTGGGGTGAGGTGGAATCTCAGCATTGTTTTCATTTGCATCTCTTGAATGACCAGTGATGTTGAACATTTTTTCATATGTTTATTTGCAATTTCTACTTCTTTGAGAAATATGTGTTCATTTCAAATGCCCATTTTCGGATTGGGTCTTTGAATTAACACATCTTAATTTCATTTTTCATCCTCTTTCCCTCCCTTCCCATTCCTTCCATCTCTTGATCCTCTTCCCATTTGAGAAAGATCTATCTCCTTACTACATTTTATTTTGCTTTTTATAATTTGAGTTTCTTATATAAAAGAAACCATATAATATTTAAGCTTGTGAGTCTGATTTATTTTATTTATAATTATGGTCTTGAGGTACGTCCATCTTCTTACAAATGACTCAAGTTTATCTTTCTTTATGGCAGAGTAGTACTCCATTGTGTATAAATACCATATTTTCTTTATCTACTGATGGATATATAGGCTGCTTCCAACATTTATCTATGAATTGTTCTGCTATATCCTTAAGTATGCACGTGTAACACACAACTACACATTGTTTTCATGTCTGAATGTTAATTTCTACAACTATTGCCATAAGTTCTTAAAAAATTAGATTTGTTTTATATAGAAGAGATGGCAACATAATCCACAGTCAGTTGCACCAGGCATCCATGAACACTTAAGTTGCTCAATTGTAAAAATGTGTGCTAGTCCTAGGGAAGAAATGGATGGGGACAGTCTGAAGCATCTGGGAGGAAGCATTCAGTCCAAGCCAGAAGCTATTTTCCAAAGAGAATGTTAAGCATTTCACTATTTTGGGAATCAAGAACCCTGGTATTCAGCTAGAATGTTATCAGCACTGGTCCCTTTGCTATCTTGTGGAATCCTCTATTTGTAAGAACCAATGAAGTAAGAAACCAATGAAGCCAAACAACAGTTTCTCTGCCTGTTTATCTACTCTGTCTTGTTTAACAAAGAAGATTTTATCTGGTTTGTACTGTGGGGAAGTGAAGCAATACCATAGGATAATGGCATTTTTAAAAGTTTGGATGGCATATGTGATTTAAATGAACATTATTACCTTTTGACTATGTTTAGTTACTTCTTTATATGTATTGAAAAGCTAACTGAAAGAGGAAGAAGCCAGTGCCCTGGGAGACACTTTCTACATGGTCACTGCATCTTTCTCTAACTCCAGCATGGTTTCTGAATTAAGTCTTAGGCTGATTACTGACACAGCCAGATTGGAACCACTTACCTGTGCCTGGCTACAGGTAAGCAGATTTGCAGCACCAGAAGCAAAAGGCAGGTCTATTTCTATCATTTAGTATTCTTTGGAAAGAAGCTAGGTAAACAAATGAATACTTGTCTATACACATCAGGTAAGTGGAATGACAGCACCGAGACAAGCTTCATGAGTTTAAAAAAAAAAAAAAAAAAGAGGGAGAAGGGGAGAGAGAGAGAATGTTCTATCATTGCATTTAAAAGCCAGAAAATCCTGAGTAGTATGAACACACTTTCTGAGGAAAGTAAATAATAGTCTGATCACTTCCTCTTCTCTGCTGTAAAACTGGAAAAACAATCCCAAATGTAGGTAATTAAATTTGGAACTTTAGTGGAAAACTGTTACCATTCAATGGAATCTTATCAATAAAGTATATTATTTGTTCAGTAGAAAGAAAAGGTGAGTATTGCTAAAATCTGAATGACTTACAAATTAATAAACTATGAATTCCACAGTGCCCAAAGTTAAGTCTAATTTTCCTTTGGAAGATTGATATTTGGTGAAAAAATAGTTTGTTATGTTTTATTCCTAATACACAGTATGCAGCTGGCAAGCACATCTTTTCAAAAGTGCCCCTATTTGTATTATAACATTTTAAAAATTTCATGACATCAAAATCCAAATAAAATTAAGGCACTAGGTGAGTCATTAAAATTCTTTGAGCAGGATTCATGAGAAGCAAAAACTGAGACAAAGAAGATGGTGATGATATGGTTCAGCTCTAAAATACTATAATCCTGAACCCTGGGGACATAAAATTTTAAGGTTCACATTGACTTGAACCCAAACCTGTATTTACACTGCAAAGAATGAGAGCATTTGACTGTGGTTTGGCCTAAAGTCCAGTGACCATCAGTCAACAGCAGGTTTTGATGAGATTGATACTTTAGATTTTCTCTTCATTATAGCACAGGGCTGATGTGTTCTAGCTGGTGAGTCTTGCAATAGTGCCAACGAAAAGATAAACAGAGAGTTGAATAGTTACTTCGTTAGCTTTTGTGACTGTAGAAAGATTTTTTTCCTTTGCCTCCAAGCCATTCTTTGTCTTATCCCCTACTCATTCTGCAAGTCAATTTAAAGATGTACAGCCTCTTATGCTTGGCCTTCCTTACACTGTTATATACTAATTCTAGTGGGTATTTGTACATAACATCTTATACATTTCACAAACCATGGATGGCTGTTGGTTGCTTTGCCAGCACACGTCATAATTATCCTCATCCTTTCCTAGCAGTAACAGCTGCCAGATTTCATATAGGGATGGGACCAGTAGTGTGGTCTTATGTTCAGGGCAGATGTAAGCCAGACCATTCAAAGTGACTCTACGGGCCATGGCCAGGGTCTCTTTCTGACTGGATTTGATCAAGAAAGCAAATTTCCCAAGTCATTAAAACATCTCTAGGACCATAAGGACAGTTACTATAACAATGGATCTAACACTAGGAATGGAGACATGGTAAGACCAAAAAAAAAAAAAAAAAGAAAAAAGAAAAAAAAGATTTCTTGACAACATTGTGATCTACTTTTTGAAGCTGGCTCAACTGCTATATTTTTAGGTTATAGTCATCAATATATTCTTTTGAACAAGTCAGTTAGAGTCATGGCTTCTGTTCCTTGCCACAGAAAGCAACTTTACCTGCGTCAGTGTGAGAGGGCTGGAATCACACCTGCAATTGTAATCTCACTTGCCCATTTCTCTTCGATTATAGACTCCTTGAGCTCAAGAATTGAGATATTTTATCTTTGCAATCTTACTACCTCGCAGAGTAGCTGGCACATAGTTAATGCTCAATAAATGATTAATAATAAACAAAGAGGCAACTAAATAAACAAGGTGACCTGGATTATTCAGACCAGAAAACATTTCTTTCTCAAGTATTTTTCATGTATTTTGATATTTGCTTTGACTTTTATATTTCCATGCTGTACCATTAATCACATCCTACCCTGATTTAATTTTCAAAGTGTTTTTTCTTTTTCCTTCTAATTATTTAAATAGAGTACTCATTACAAAAGTTTAAATGACACATAAGCATAAAAGATAAAGTAAAAATGAACAGGAATGCTATGATTTAAGAGTTCAATGCAGAGGCTAAATGAAGAGCTTTGTTTTGTCTTGCTTTTGTTTTTTTTTTTAAATCTCCCTGCACCATTCCTA